TAATGCTTTTCAACAAGCCCCGAGAGGCTCAGTCATTTTTATGAGAAGCAGTTTAAAAGCAACTCGAACAGGAGTCAGAAATACTGACGGACTGAACTCTTTTTTTTTTTTTGGTCTTCTATTGAAGCTGCTGCTCTGTCTTGATGTTTTTGGCGATTCCTTAGTGTCTTTGTAGTGGATCGCACGTGCAAATAAGCATGTCACTGCACTTGTGCACACGACAAAGTGAACCGAACGGAAATCATTCACATCTGCTAGTTACAATAGACAGAAATGCTCGTGCACACTTGGGGGGACTCCCCCCAATACCACCGGCTTCTGGGAGATGGGAGGTTCTCTCTCGCAAGAGGGGGTGCTTTGCTTTACTGCAGCGCTGCTCTCGGCACCACGTTTTTACCGCAATCTCGCACGGCTGACTTCCCACCTGGCAGACCGTGGCGGGGTACAGCACCCCGCATGCCAACTCACCCACGAACAGCACCAGGCAGGGCCCCTCGTTCAGCTGCGCGGCGTTGGACTCGCTCAGCTCCAGCACGGGCCGCGGGTGCCAGGGGAAGCGGCGGCACTCGGGGTCGTTCAGCACCTCCACACGGCCCTGCCGCGTGACCAGCCGGCCCTCGGCGTCCAGCAGGATGAGGGTGGGGATCCCTGCCGGGGGGAGACGGGGAGACGGACAGCCCTGAGCACCCCTGTGCCACCGCAGCACGGGGAGAGGGTTGATGGTCCAGATCGCTCGGCGAGATCGAGGGGGGGGGGAACTCTGGGATTCGAACCCGAGGCTCTCTAGTTTAAAACCTGATCTGCGGGCAATGTGGCGCACGCCGAGGGTCACAGCCAAAGCTTGCCGTCAATCAAGCGCAGATTCCGCGTCGCCAACATCTGAGCTGCACCCCTCACTTTCCGGAACCCGGGTGTTCTGGGATCGCTGCGCAGGCCCCAACCAGACGAGCAAGAAAGAGGAGCTGAACAGGCTCCTCTCCCTGCGTTCTTGAGCTGAACCCCAAATCACCCCCCCCTCCCCACCTGCGGTTACAGCAATCTCACCCTAGGGGCGTCTGCGCCCCTCTCGCCACCCTGCGGGGAACACCTGCGTACCCGCCGGCCACGCCACCTTGTTTATTTTAACAAAGCAGCACGCTCTTTGTCGGGGGGCACCCGAGCTTCCTCGACAGCTTTCGGCGAATCACCTCTATCGGGGTCAAGGTCCGCCCTGGGGTAAATCAGGGACTAGGTTGCCTGCACAGACCCGGCCTGTCCCAGCTCACACACTCTCTCTCTCTCTCCTTCCCTTGTGATAAGGATCAGCCGCAACAGGATTTAAGAGCCCTTACCGCCAGCAGGCAGTAACAGCAGGCTGCTGTGCGCTGGATGGCGGAAGAGCAGGGGGGGAGAGTACAGACTCGTCCCGCACACATTCCACAGATTCCTCGCAGTCAAACACTGCTGCCTCTCTGCTCCCCTGCTACCTCTGAAATAGCCCCCCCCCCGCACCAGGGGCAAGAACGCATGCGCCATCTCTCCAGTCAGTGCAGGAAGGCCTCTTCATGAAACTAAGGCTATACTTGGCCCACATACTAGAAGACAGAGCACATGCTTCATGGAATAGCTGTGCAACAAAACTGCTCAATAAACACACGTAGGTGTAGCCTCCCACACTCCCTATTTAGCCATTTTCCTATGTTTAAGTATTGTTGTCGTGATTTCATTTTATGTTTGGCTGGTGTGTTTGATACAATTATGGAAGAAGCCAAAGACACATTGCCACAGCGGCGGACAATAAATGATCTATTGAGCTGGTAAATTAAAAATGTTTCAAACACATAGTGCCTCCAAATGACAAAAACACTACCAATGTCATTTCGTGGAAGTAAGATCTCGGAATATGACAAATTCCCCGTCTCGTGCCCAGAGAAGACGTCCCACGGTGACGCAGGGAGCTTTTATAATTTAGGATCGGCGACCCATCCTCGTCAGAAGCTCGTTAACATGCCAATTTACAGCTGCATGCAGCAGAGATTGTGAGGGAAGCACGTGCATCACAATTATAATAATATCCCAATGAAGAATTAATGGCCGGAGATAGCGATTGAGCCTCAAACTCAATGTCCAGACCTTCGCGGAGAATTTTCCCAACCCAACTACAGCTCCCCAGCGTTGTCACGGACTGCACCTTGGATTCCGTACAGTCGATTGAGCCGTGAGCGCCGGCCCTCGTCTGAATACGGGACGGCCAGCCAGGGCATCTCGCTGAAATACTGTTTAAAAGAATCTTCCGACCTGCAACGGTAAGAATCGACGAACACACTCGGTCACAAGATTACGTTCTTGTGATTCATTCACAAGTCCGGTAACAGCCAGTCCCGTAACCCTGTCTGTAGATGGTTCTGTACTTGACCTTCAATCTAAATTGAAAAACCTTGGGGTTATATTCGATTCTGGTTTAACATTCGACCCACATGTGCAGCACATTGTCAAAACATCTTTTTTTTCACCTCAGAAATATCGCTAGACTACGCCCTATGCTATCACTACCTGTGGCTGAAAAGCTGTTCAACACATTTGTGGTCTCCCGAATTGACTACTGTAACGCTCTACTCGCTGGGGTATCTAAATCTACTCTGAACAAACTGCAGTATGTCCAAAATTCAGCAGCCAGAATCCTGACCAGGTCTAGTGCAAGTGTTCACATTACTCCTATCCTGGAGTCCTTGCACTGGCTTCCGGTCAAATTCCATGTAGACTTTAAAATCCTCATGCTGACCTACAAGGCTCTGCGAGGCTTGGCACCTCAGTACCTGTCTGAACTATTATCGCCCTACTCCCCACCTCACAACCTTCACTCTTCCAACTCTGGTCTCCTTGCTGTCCCCCAAGCCCGTCTACACTCTATGGGTGACAGGGCCTTCTCTTGTTATGCCCCCAAGCTCTGGAACTCTCTCCCCAAGGATATCAGAGAGTCACCTTCTCTAAACTCCTTCAAATCCAGACTCAAAACCCTCTTCTTTAGAAAAGCCTTTTCTTAGTACCACCATCCACGGTCTCCTCTGTATATTGTAATTGTGTTTTATCTTGTGTATTCTTTTTATTTATTGTTGCTGTCATTCTGCCTTTAAAGGCGCTATATAAAATAAAGTTTATTATTGTTATTATATTATTATTCACTGATCAGAAGCAATACTCTGCAATTACTCTGCAATTACTTTGGGTAATTCGAGATTAATTCACCCGAAGAAGGCTCCACAGCCGAAACTTTGTGTTTCTTTTCTTCTCTTTTCAGCCTGGAATAAACCTTTACTTGTTCCGTAGTCACAAGCCTTGCAGAAGACACCCAGGAGACTTGAATTCCAGTCCCCCATGGCGTCTCGTGAGCTGCAGCATTTACACTTAATATCTACTGTAGCTGTAGAAAAGGAAAGGGCTCGGGCACCAGGATTAAGAGGAACGAGCAGCCTGTTCTGAACTGAAACAAAGCTCTTTGAAAGTGAAATCCGACTCCCGCTGCTTAGCTGTTTTGATGCATTTCGGATGTTACGACCTGAAGGCTGAACATCTGGCGCTGGCTCTTTTGTAATTTGAAAAATATTTACTTTCCTATTCATCGGTAACTTTAACACGTCAACCTGGAGCTCGTAAAAACCTGAAACGGTCCTGTCAGCTGGGCAACAGAAACCTCCCTACCAGCCTGGGTTCACCCTGGCTGGAGAGCGCCAAGTCACTCACCTGTCGGCGCTGACAAACACGATCTCGAACTTCTGTCCCGACTCCTTCACCGTGCGGTACGACTCCACCAGCACCCGCGACAGGCTGCGGCACGGCGGGCACTGCCAACACACACACACACAGCGCACATTAACATCCCCCCGCCGGGCCCGAAATCCAACAAGAGCTCTCTCTCCAACACAGCTCTTCACAGGCCTGACACTCAGACAGCTCATGCTGGCTTCGGCCTTTAGGACACAAGCCGCAACAATATAGTCCACGTGGCGGTTTCGAAGATCAGTCTTCTATATTTCAGCTCATGATACGTTCGTCTGCTTTCGGGCGTGTAAGTAGAAATTCCCTCTGAAACACATCCAAGAGTTTGTGTTTCTGCTCTGGCATTTGGGAAACACAATACAAAAAGATACTGGTGGTCGAACAGACTAAATATTTTATATCCTAGTGAATAATATACGTCTCATTTTATGTAGAAAATGACAGATGAAACTGGATGACAAAAGAACAGAGCAAGCCAAGAGTGCTTTTAGTTGACTAGCAGTAAGCTGATAATCACAGACTTCCCTGACTTTGCACTCAGTAGGCAGTATGCACTACAGCATTTCCTTGCAGTTAAGATACAGCTGAATGTTCATTGTTTGATGAAAATAAACACTCAGGGGATGGCCTGAAGGGGGCAGCATGGTGTCTAGGTGGTTGGTGTGTCACAGCTCCTGGGTTGTGGGTTCGACTCCAAGTTGGCAACACCTTCTGTGTGGAGTTTCACACATTTTCATACGGGCTTTTGCCAGGTTTTCTTCCATCTTCCACAGACACACTGGCCATGACGGGTTAACTGGCTGCTCAAAATTGTGTGCACGTGTGCACTGCATGTACGTGTTTGTGTGCCTGTGTGTGTGCATGTGTGCACTGCATGTATGTGTTTGTGTGCCTGTGTGTGTGCACGTGTGCACTGCTTGTACGTGTTTGTGTGCCTGTGTGTGTGCACGTGTGCACTGCATG